ATTACCATCAGAGTGCCGGCAGGATGATGGGGAATTAGCCTCGGCTACCATCATCTTTTGTCCGGTCGTGATGGTCGAGTGGTTAAGGTGTCCTGTACACCAAATGCAGAGGGCTCCTGGCAGTATGGGTTCGAGTACTTCTGGGGTGTGAGTTTTCAGTTGCATATATGCCTGGGGACCATTCAGGCTTGTTCGCATTTGTGTTCCTCACGTGTGCCCCAAAGAATGAGGTGATTTGATAAAATATTATGCCCAAAATTACCATCAGAGTGCCGACAGGATGATGGGGAATTAGTCTCAGACAGAGCCGACATGCTGGAGGAGGCACTACATCTCAGAAAGGAGGGACAGCCCAGGCACTCTCCTTACCCAAGGTTTTGGGGGAACTTCAAGAGTTCAGGAGGAACGAGGACGGGTGGGGACTCTCCCAAGAGTAGTTTACCCAGCGAGATAAACCGGTCCAAGAGTTCAGGGGAACCGGTGAGAAGACCCCAAATGGGAAAACGCCGGGACTGGACCGAGGAACGCTGCCAGGGAGACGACGATCGGGGGAGCGAGGAGGGCCTAGGGGACAGCGGTTTCTGGGAGCGTTGCCCGAGTGACAGGTGGAGAGTCGCCTCCCAGGAGAGGCAGGTGTATTAATTGTGGCGGGCGCGGACACTTCGCACGCGAGTGCGGTCGCCCCAGGTTACACCGAAAAGTGGCACTGGTCAGAATGGTCGACCGAGAAGCCAAGGATATTTCCCAGGAAGCAGCCCGTAGCAGCTGTCTAACTCCCAGGTACCTATTTACTGCTAGAGTGAATAGGTGCATCAGGGTGAAAGAAACAGTTTGCTCATTTGTCTCCCCCTCCACCGGGGATCGAACCTGGAACCTCAGGACTACGAATCCGAAGCGCTGTCCACTCAGCTATCAGGCGCCCATACTCAGCTGTAAGGCACCCATCAACTAGGTTTTGGTGTCCCCCCATGGCTGTGAAGCAGCAGCTCATGCAGCCCGAGTCTATATCAAGCACCTCCCAGAAAATAAGGCATTAATTAAATTAGACTTTAAAAATGCCTTCAACCAGGTAAAAAGAGATGTGGTACTGGAAGCAGTTCGAACAAGCTTTCCTTCTCTACTTCCTTTTGTTTCAGCAGGGAACAGTATGTAATCAACACTGTTGTTTGGGGAACATGAAGTTGTTTTCGCAGAAGGTGTTTAGCAGGAAGACCCACTTGCCCCTTTCCTTTTCTGTATGGCAGCTAAACAGGTCACAAGCAAGTTGACCAGCGAACTCAACATCTGGTTCCAGGACGATGGCGCTCTGGCAGGGATACAGGAGTCCCTGCTAAGAGATCAGAGGAAGTGAAATCTAGTGAAATCCAAGAAAGAGGAGTTAGGCCTCATCCTAAACTCATGAAAGTGTGAAATCATCTAATCTAGCCAACCAATCGTAGATGTAGTACGAATCTTATTGCCAGTAGCCCCAGTGATCGCTCCCACGAACAGTGATCTGCTAGGGGCACCTCTGGGCTCGAGCGCCATTGAAGTAATCCTCGAAGAAAAGCTGAACGATCTGAGGAGGATGGAGGGAAGAATAGGGGATTTGGATGCTCACGATGCTTTGTACCTTCTCACTAGGTGCCTGGCTTTGCCCAGAATTACCTATTTCCTAAGGTGTGCTCCCTTCTTCGACAGCCCAGAATTAATGGCATATGACTCACTTATAAAGTCAATAACTATGAAAGTGTTAAACCTCTCCCTGCAAGATGACCAATGGGACCAAGCAACGCTTCCAGTTAGACTTGGGGGTATAGGTATTCGCAAGGCGACACAGTTAGCATTGCCGGCATTCTTATCCTCGACCAGTGCAACAGGTGAATTAGTTAAGGAAATACTATCGGAATACCTAAGAGGCTCCGTTGGGATTCATGATCCCAAATTCGCGGAAGGAGCCGGTCAGTGGGACACTCTTGTCAACTCTCACCCTCGACCGACTTTTCCAAATGACTGCAAACAGTCCAAATGGGATAGCCCCATAGTGGAGAACATCGCCACATCATTGCTGGAGGCAGCTTCCAGGAAGGACAAAGCGCGTCTTCTAGCTGTGCAAGCGCCCCATGCCGGGGACTTCTTGTTGGCAGTCCCTAATTCCGCCTTGGGACCCGCCTGAACCTTCGGATCCTAAGTATTGGTGTTGCCCTGCGCCTTGCCGCCCCTATCTCCACCGAGCACCGGTGTATTTGCGGCCATGCACGGGCAGACCAATACGGCAGCCATGGTCTCATCTGTTGTAAGACACAGGGAAAGATTGCCAGACATGAAGCAGTCAATGACATTATCAAGAGAAGTTTGGCTACAGCTGGGTGTCCAGCACAAAGGGAACCTCAGTTGTGCAAACCTGACAACAGCCAAAAACGCCCAGATGGAGTCATCCTGCAGCCATGGAGGAAAGGTAAACAGGTCGTATGGGACTACACGTGTAGTCCCATACGACTGTAATCCCATACTGCCCCTGTCTGGGCAGTCGCTGCCCAGACAGGTACAGAATGTACCTGTCCAGTACATCTGGGCAGAATGTGCCTAAATGGCAACAGCGACTGCCCAGACAGGTACAAGAGGAGTGTTGTTAAGGCATATGTCGACCGTGCTGTAAGCCACAGGTCAGAATGGAAGCAAGTCGACGAAGAACTCTGTAGGGTAAGGCAGGTCCTAGTCAACAACGGCTTCTCCAATGGTTTCGTCGAAGACATCATAAGAAGGAAAGTGAAAAGCCATGCAACCTCTGAAGAGACAACTAACACAACACCTATACCCCCTATTAGACTATTTTACAGGAACTTCTTTTCCACAGCTCATAAAACAGAGGAAAGGGTCCTGAAAGATATTGTTAATAGAAACGTTATCCCTACAGACAAAAATCAGAGGATACAACTGACGATTTACTATAAAACCAGAAAAATAGCCAGCCTACTTATGAGAAACTCTCCAGACACAAAGCAGAACGCTTTAAAAGAGACCAACGTCGTCTATGCCTTCAAATGCCCACTTGGGGACTGTAAGCTCCAAAAAACCCAGTATATAGGCAAGACAACAACATCTCTTTCTAGGCGTTTAACAATGCATAAACAACAGGGCTCCATTAAGGAACATATAATCTCTTCCCATAACCAAACCATCGCCAGAGAAATCCTAGTAAACAACACAGAAATCTTCGATAGATACAGCGATAGCAGGCGGCTTGACGTTTGCGAGGCACTACACATTAAGAAGTCAACACCAGCAATCAACAGCCAATTATTGCACAACTATATTCTACCCACCTCAAGACTCCGCTCCAATATAGAAGCATCAAGAAATATGGACCAATAGGCTTTCTACAAACACTTCTATTCAATATCCATTGTTTCGTGTTCTGTCTTGTGTTGATGAAATTAATACCCTATTAATACCCTTGTTCTGTCTTGTGTTGATGAAATTAATACCCTATTAATACCACATTTTGTTCTGATTGCTGGTGTTGACTTCTTGATGTGTAGTGCCTCGCAAACGTCAAGCCGCCTGCTATCGCTGTATCTATCGATGATTTCTGTGTTGTTTACTAGGATTTCTCTGGCGATGGTTTGGTTGTGGGAAGAGATTATATGTTCCTTAATGGAGCCCTGTTGCTTATGCATCGTTAAACGCCTAGAAAGAGATGTTGTTGTCTTGCCTATATACTGGTTTTTTTGGAGCTTACAGTCCCCAAGTGGGCATTTGAAGGCATAGACGACGTTAGTCTCTTTTAAAGCGTTCTGTTTTGTGTCTGGAGAGTTTCTCATGAGCAGGCTGGCCGTTTTTCTGGTTTTATAGTAAATCGTCAGTTGTATCCTCTGATTTTGTCTGTAGGGATAACGTTTCTATTAACAATATCTTTCAGGACCCTTTCCTCCGTTTTATGAGCTGTGGAAAAGAAGTTCCTGTAAAATAGTCTAATAGGGGGTATAGGTATTGTGTTAGTTGTCTCTTCAGAGGTTGCATGGCTTTTCACTTTCCTTCTTATGATGTCTTCGACGAAACCATTGGAGAAGCCGTTATTGACTAGGACCTGTTTTATGAAATTTTACGAAACGCGCCCGTGTCGCGTCAGACTAGAAATAAAAATGAATTTTGGAGAATTGATTTTTGATTTACCTCCAACAGTGAAGCGTAATGTACGAAAGATTGAGAAAATTCGTGTTAGAATTATTAATCTTACTTTTTCGGTCATATTTAATAATATATATATATATATATATATATATATATATATATATATATATATATATATATATATATATATATATATATATATATATATATATATATATATATATATATACATATATATATATATATATATATATATATATATATATATATATATATATATATATATATATATATATATATATATATATATTATATATATATATATATCTTTGTAACACAGCTGAGAACGTGTTTGGTGTCTTAAACGTATATTATTATGAGCAGGGAAGTGTTGCAGCTCACTAGTGATAAGGCAGCATGGTAACTGACATAGAGAGACGCCGAGACGGCACGGCCCTCGTTATCAGCGGCTCTAGGCACTGATAACCTTCCGGCCACACCAACCTGTTCCCCACACTCAATACACTGTTGCTTTGTGGCGATAGAACACACTGTCAATATTCCTTAAGCTTCATTATAAACACTACAAATTTGCTTTCTCGGACCAAGATGAGCTTCTGCGACGATACGGGTGTCTTATGTGGCAAGGTTTGTAGGGTTAGCTTAGGGAACCCCTCCTTAACATGCACGTCACACGGTCTGCTCATAGACCAGACAGAGTGCAACACCACATGACTTGGTGAATATTCAAGATATAATATAGAGAATGTCTCCTCAGTAAGTTAAATAGATTCTCATCATCTTTATGTAACTATTATAATTAAACTACTCCCTTCTAGAGGGAAGAATATATATTATAGACGAGTTAATATGCAAGCACATCTTACCTTGTTGTTGATAAGGACCAGTCGATGAGTCTTGACAACTGGCTCCTGCGCATGCGTCGACTCCCGCCTTTACCATGACATTACAATTTTAGTAAAGCTTTAATTAATTCATTATTAATAATGTTGATATAATTTTTCACATGAGACAATATTACGAAGCAGAATAAATGTTAACATAACATTAACACACGACTTTGAGGGTTAAATACACACACGAGAGGAGCATTCCGTGGCTCTGAATCAACACACTCTCTCTTGTGTTGAGTGTGTTGTTTGACCATTGTGTTCAAGACCGTTGTTTGTTTGTTGGTGGTTGAGGGGCGACGACGCTCTGAGGATCGGATGCACCCCGGCTACCCACCCAAAAACATCATTGCTCTAGTCGGTGAGTAATCAAGAGTCGTGAACATTATGAGCCTACAAAGACTGATAGGCCTGGTTGATTGCCCAGAATGGTGGAAAGGGCGGAGGAAGGGACAGTTCTTCCGGTAGAGAAAAAGGTGGAGGGAAGGGCAAGAGTTCGGATGGGTGAGAGGGCGGAGTGAGGGACAGTTCGTCCAGAGATATAAAGAGCTTGAGATGCTCACTTTCATTTAAAAGGTCATCATAATTCAGGTCTTTCTGGTTCATATTAGCCAGATGTTCACACTTTATTTGGTGCATCAGAAACAATCGTTTTCAATTCACCGAAGAAAGAAAGATTTCCAATCTGGGAATAAGCCTCTGCACGTTATGCCAGTTCAAAGATTTGAGTGACCAGAATAGGAAGGAAAGTTTCCACATTGAATATTTCGGATTTAATGAGAAGTATCTCTTCTGCTGATCCATCATATCTACTAAGACGCCCCCTACGTTTTCGTTCCCATTTTCCCCATTACTGTAATCTGTATGTGGCCACATACTCTTGGCTTTGAATTCATATTCACTCTGTTTTTCTCTAGTTTCCTGGAGATAGTTTTTCATAGACCCAAGAAGACTCGTGGAAACAAGAAGGCCAACATGACATGATGTGAACAAGGATGTTCACATCCTATGATTGAGGACCTTGTTTGTTTTGTTCATTTTTTCTAGCATGTCATTTAACTAATGTCATGCTTTGGCATGTCATGCCAAAGAATTGTGAGAAAGATTGTTACCAGGTTTTCCATTTGTTTTGCTAAATCTTTCTTTATCTCGCCTTGCATTCAATTGCTGTTCATTGTCAGCCGATAGGTTATGACCACACGTGCATGTTTTATTTTCTCAAAACACCCATAATGAGCATGAACAAAGCATGAACAGCATCAAAATGTGCTGGCCATAATGTGTCAGACAGACGCTTGGCCACAAAATCTTTTCCTAATGATGATGTCAAAACATTCCAGCGATGAGAAAACCCAGCATGACCCGAGTGTCTGTTAGATCCTTTGCTCCATGAGAAAAGATAGGGATGAACATCAATAAACATTCCAAGGCTCACAGTCTTTAATGTATCGAACATCAAATGTCAGTGATGTCTGGAGTGGAATCTACACTTATTGAATAATACTTTGACATTTTGACTTCTCCAAGAGTAGTAAAAAGAACTTTTTGTTCCATTAATTCAATATATTCATCACAAATATTTGCAGATAAATATGACGGATTCCCCTTTCAAGGATTTACATACATTTTGAGATGTTCTTCCAAGAAAGGGTCAAATTCACTCAGCAGTGAACCCATACTGCCAGATGCATTGCGTCTGACAGTATGGGTTCGAGTCACTTCTGGGGTATGAGTTTTCAGTTGCATATATGCCTGGAGATCTTTCAGGCTTGTTCGCATTTGTGTTCCTCACGTGTGCCCCAAAGAATGAGGTGATTTGATAAAATACTATAAATCGGGTCCACTAAAATATCTTACAATAGTGGACCCCATACCCATCATGACGCTGGTAGTGGACCCCATACCCATCTTGTGGGTGGTAGTGGATCCCATACCGATCTTGTGGGTGGTAGTGGACCCCATACCCATCTTGAGGATGGTAGTGGACCCATCTTGTCGGTGGTAAAGAACCCCATACTCATCCTGTGGGTGGTAATGAACCCCATATCCATCCTGTGGTTGGTAGTGGACCCTATACCCACCCTGTGGGAGGTAGTGGACCCCATACTAATCCTGTGGGTGGTAGTGGACCCGATACCCCTCCTGTATGTGGTAGTGGACCCCATACCCATCTTGTGCGTGCTAGTAGACCGCAAACACATCTTGTTGGTTGTTGTGGATCCCATACCCTTCTTGTGGGTGGTAGTGGACCCCATACTCATCCAGTAGTGGTGGTGGACTCTATACCTATCCTGTGGGTGGTAGTGGACCCCATACCCATCTTGAGGGTGGTAGTGAACCCCATACTCATCATGTGGGTGGTAGTGAACCCCATACCCATCCTGTGGTTGGTAGTGGACCCCATACTCATCTTGTGGGTGGTAGTGGACCCCATACCCATCCTATGGGTGTTAGTGGACCCCATACCCATCTTGTCGGTGGTAGTGGACCCCATACCCATCTTGTGGTTGGTAGTGGACCCCATACCAATCTTGTGGGTGGTAGTGGACCCCAAACCCATCCTATGGGTGTTAGTGGACCCCATACCCATCTTGTCGGTGGTAGTGGACCCCATACCCATCTTGAGGGTGGTAGTGGAGCCCATACCCATCTTGTGGGTGGTAGTGGACCCCATACCCATCTTGAGGATGGTAGTGGACCCCATACCTATCTTGTGGGTGGTAGCGGAACCCATACCCATCTTGTGGGTGGTAGTGGACCCCATACCCATCTTGAGGATGGTAGTGGACCCCATACCCATCTTGTGGGTGGTAGTGGAACCCATACCCATCTTGTGGGTGGTAGTGAACCCCATACTCATCCTGTGGGTGGTAGTGGACCCCATACTCATCCTGTGGGGTGGTAGTGGACCCGATACCCCTCCTGTATGTGGTAGTGGACCCCATACCCATCTTGTGGGTGCTAGTGGACCCCATACACATCTTGTTGGTTGTAGTGGACCCCATACCTATCTTGTGGGTGATAGTAGACCCCATACACATCTTGTTGGTTGTAGTGGACCCCATACCTATCTTGTGGGTGGTAGTGGACCCCATACCCATCCAGTGGGTAGTAATGGACCCTATACCCATCCCGTGGGTGGTATTGGATCGGATACCCCTCCTGTGTGTGGTAGTGGACCCCATACCCATCTTGTGGGTGCTAGTGGACCCCCATACCCATTTTGTAGGCTGTAGTGAACTCCCATACTTATCCTCTGGGCAGTAGTGGACCCCATACCCATCCTACATGCGCTAGTGAATCCGATACACATCCTGTGCATGGTAGTGGACCCCATACCTATCCTACAGTAGGTAGTAGACGCTATACAATACTGTTTGCAGTAGTTTACCCCATAGACATTCCCACATAACCCCGTTTTCTGTTGACTTTCCTGCTATACATTCTTTAAAGA